GACATATGTACTTTTCCCAAAACACTTCAGGTGATTTTTTGAGACCATTTCTTGACCAAAATTAAAGGCTCCCTACATTGAAGAGTATTCACAAGCAGAGATCCTAATATACTCACGTATATAACTATTACATAAGACAAACTATTCCAAGTGCCACAATAGGTATATCGAACCATCCTTGAATGTCACAGCCAGGCTTACTGTACTGTACAGCCTAAGTACAGTGACTAAATGAACAAATTAAATTATAAGTTTACCTGGCAATGTAAAGGCTGATAAGGAGGGGATGAACCATAGCTACAAAAAGGAAGAGATTCTCTCCCCCGAACTCAAACTCTTGGGGTCCTTGAAAAGTTTAGGTCTAGGGAACATTACTCACTCACCGACAATCCAAAGTAAGGAGTACCCAAAACACTAGGGATCGACAAAAGTTGTTCAACTGCAAAGAGCTAAACAATAATACTTAAACCGTGAGTAAAGAGAAAGGTGTAATCCATGGATTCTTTAATTCTGCCTTGGCTAAGACATATAGCGGAAGCCAGATTCAATAAGCCTTCATTAGAATTTTAATTCTGTACACAGAGGTCTGATAAGGCCCTTTGACCCAAATGTTTTGTACTTATACACCAAAAGATGATGTAGTAATAGTTTGTGGTTTTTTGAATTTGTGAAACAACAATAATAATGCTGGATATAATTTTTTAAAAGAACCATAATCCAGTAATATTGGCCAATAACTTTCCTTTTTACATATTCTTTCCACCTTTCAAGGGTGCAGTTCAAGTATACATTGTTTACATGATGTTTACATAGCTATCCTCAAAATGCATCTATAATTTTAGAGTCTACTTTTTGCTTTAATGTTGCATCGTAAATAGCTTTCTATATTATATATTATGTTTGTGTGTGTCATATTCTTCTATTTCTGTAATCTCTCACAATTCTCTAAAGACTCTCCAGTTGTTAAGCATTTTGGTTGCTGATGTTTTAGATATTATTCCTAAGGCAGCTATTGTTTTCTACCCATATTCTTTGGCGTTCCTTCAATTGTTTTCTCAAGATAACTTCTCCGGAATGGAATTACTACTCAGAGAATATGAATAACTTTCTGATTCTTGAGCTATCTTATTATATTGCTTTAAAAAATACTCTAGACTATCACAAAATCCCAATTCACTGCCATCGAGTCAGTGGCAATACTGTGGGACAGAGTCGAACTGACCCTGTGGGCTGTGAGTCTGGAACTCTTTAAAAGAGTAGAAAACCTCTTTTCCTGTGGAGTGGCTGATGTTTCTGAACTGCTGCTCTCGAGGTTAGTTAAAGTGAGTCACCATACATGCGACTCACCAGAAGCTTTGCATTGCCTGCGACATGATACGGGGCCTGTGCTCCAGGCAGAAGGTGATGGAACAGTGAGGTAGGCGACTATGGATTTGGGGTGGGAGTTAACCCTGTGTCTTTTATAGTGTGATGCATGTGAAGATAAAAATAATACTCTTTAAGAGGGACAATACTTACGCTCCGTGATTGGACTATACTATCTATAAAGATGCTTCCTAGCAATTTGGCCTGCGGCACACCCCTACCACGTCCTACGGGCTGCTCCACGGGAGAGAAGGAGGCAGTTTGCTTCCATGAAGATGTACCGTCTCAGAAACCCTAGGGATCAGCTAGTGGCTTAAAAGATCGACCTTTCGGTGGGCATCCACACCTGTAGCCTATTGTCGTTGAGGCGGCGCTGGCTCACAGCGCCTCTGTGGGCAGCAGCACGGAACACCGCCCAGCCCCGTGCCGCCTCACTCACCATGGCTACGATGGCGCCCCTCGTTGCGGACACTGAGTCCACCCATCTTGTCCAACGTCGTCTTCTTTATCGCTGTCCCTCTACTTTACCAAGCAGGCGGTCCATTTCTAGGGACTCCTCCCTCCTGATCACATGCCCCAAGTACTGGAGACAAGTTTTATTATGCTTGCTTCTAGGGAACATTCTGGCTGTACTTCTTCCCAGACAGACGTGTTGGTTCACTTGGCAGTCTATGATACTTTCAGTCTTCTTTGCCAGCACCTTAACTCAAATGATAGCTTGAATCTATCAATCCATAATTCAAACCTGTAGTCAGCACTCTTTTTTTTTTAATTGTATATTATTTTTATTGACACATCTTACAAATTCCAATATATTCATTCACATACAACTCTGTTGTTCAATCCCATTGGGTGGGGTTATACAATCATCAATGCTATCAGCTCCCCTTTCCTTCCACCCCTCTCAGGGAACCATTACTCCTGTCACTATCTCTGAGGGGGTCAACTATCTTTTAGTCAGCACTCTTAAAAGAGTATGTGTATACCATTCTTTCTCAAAGTCGGTAATACTGCCCCCTTTGGGGTGCTGGAACGATCCAGTGGGTGGGGTGGTGGTGCTGCAAAAGCAGATATCTTTATACACACTTTATCCTGGATTATGGCTTGTAGTACAAAAGTTTTTAACTGCCAGGAGGATGCTGAGGAATTTGTTTTCTGAAAAGGAGGTGGTAGGCCAAATAAATTTGGGAACCTATGTTCCATATTGTTTTCACTTAGCCTCATCACCAGGGTTGTGATTGGTACTCAGTCCCTTGGCAACGTAAGGAGTCCCTGAAAGTCCTGGTGGCGTAGTGGTTACGCATTGGGCTGCTAATCGCTGGGTCGGCAGTTTGAAACCACCAGCCACCCCTCAGGAGGAAGATGAGGCTTCCTACTCCTGGGAAGATGTGGCATTGGATTTAAGCTTGGGTAGCATAAAGGTGATTAGGTGCTCTTGAACCCATCCAGAGGTACGTGGGGAGTACGCCCTGGCGAGCTTGTGTCCAAAAGATGGCAGCCATGAAAATCATAGGCAATCACCGTGAGTCTGAATTGGTAACCGGTCCCTGGTTTGTATTTATTTAGGCAAGAGAGTAGTCAGGTTATCTTTTGAACTCTAACTTTTATTCTCTCTATACCCATCCTGCTCCTGGAATACTTTTGATGGATGTATATTAACTCTTCCATTGTCCACACGACCTCCTTTGTGCCATTTTGCTCACATCCAAAGGCGAAGAAGTCCCAAAGCTGACGTTTTAAAGTACCATCTTTGATGGTGGTTATGGTCAGACTTTTCGGCTTGCTCATCATTTGCCAGGTGGGAAGCTGTCCGTGTTCACCAGATTACGCGCAGTCTAAATGACACTGTCGTATTTGAAGTGATGTTTTATTCAATGGGCATTCCTTAGGACTTATTCTGGTGATCATAATAGATTTGCATCAACAGCTGGATGATCTGCTCGACCAGGTGCCAAAAGCAATTGCGAGAACTCTCATTTGCCTTCTGAAAAATTCCTCTCTGGTCACTCAGGCATCTTTTTGATGTGCCGAGGAATGCCTGGAGCAATGCCTTATCGCATAGCTCCTGTGGAGTGAGAACACAAGCACAGCTCAGTCAGGCCCTCCCCTCAAGGTCTAACAGGCTGGAATCCAGGTTTCACAGTCAGGCTGTGTCTCAACTGTGGGCCCAGCCAAGGACCCCTCGGCTTCCAGACTCATCTGGAATGTGGGCTGAATTTGTTTTCTTGCAAGTGTGGGACTGTGCACACCAGTGTTTGGCTGTCAGCTGGAGCCTGCTCTCCGGTCTTAGAAACTGCTGCTATCTCACTTTGATTATACTGAATTAGTATGTGTTGGTGCTGTGGGTTCGATGTGGGACCGCTAACTGCAAGGTGTGTGGTACAAATCTATCAGCCACTCCTTGAGAGATAGATGAGACTAGCTGCTCCCATCGAGATTTGCAGGCTTGGAAACCCTGTAGAGTTGCTATGAGTTGGAATTCATTCGATGGCAGTGGGTGGTTGCTAGGGAGCCTGAACTTGCCATTCTAGTCTTGCTTCAATTACATTAGCTAGTGCCGACCCATAGGGACCTATGCACAACAGAACGAAACCCTGCCCTGTCCTGCACTGTCCGCACAATTGTTCCTTTTATGGAGCCATTGTGGCAGCCACGGTGTCAGTTCATCTCCTTGAGGCTCTTCCTCTTTTTCGCTGTCCCTCTATCAAATGTGAAGTCCCTCGTCAGTGACTGGTCTCTCCCAACAACATGTCCAACCTTTGTAAGAGGAAGCCTCACCATCCTTTAAGTTGATGAAATAGAAGCAGCATATATGAATTACATCTGCTCACCTATTGTGTTCGTCTGGGTACTTTAGAGAAACAAATCCACAGAAACTCATGTATAAGAGAGAGTTTTATATAAAGGTTAAGTGCGCACCAAGAAAACACCCCAACCCAGTGCTGCCCAAGCCTACAAGTCCAACATTAACCCATTAACTCATATGTCCAACACCAGTCCACAAAGTCCTCCTCCATCTCACAGAACAGAGGCAATGATGCTGACTGCAGGAGGAAAGCCGAGTCAGTGAATGTGTAAGCGTCTCAGCGCTGTCAAGGGTCTCCACACGGCTGCTCCAGCACCCAGGGCTGCATCGGGGTAGATCCATGTGGCTTCTCCTTGGGGATGTCTTGTAGGAACTCAGTCTTGCAAGCTGAAGCAGGGAACTGCTAAGGCAGCTGCACCCTGGTGTGACCATCACAAAGCAAGAGACCGGAGAGCTTGAAAGGCGAGGTTCACTGAGCCATTTATCTCTCGCCCCTCAGTTAACCCCACATGTGTTTATTGGCCAGGTTGGCACAATAAACTAACTAACTCACCTATCTTAGCTCTAAACTCTGTTGCCACACCTATCTTTAAGGGAAACTATGAATACAGTGCCGAGCAGAGAGGTTAACTTGGCTTGGAGAGGTTATACTATTAAAAAGAAAAAGAGGATTGGGTAGCAAGGGCAAGTAAAATTGGTGTTCCAGGGTGCTATTGATAGGGGCAAATAAGCTTATTGCTTTGCAAAGTAATAATCAGTTGTGCCAAGTAAAAAGCAACTTTGTGGACAGGGCAATCAACAATAAATCTGTCCTGATCTTTGGTTGTAGATGGCCAGTAACCTGTGTGCCAGGTAGCATTCTATGCCAAACTTGAATGCCAACAGGACGTCTCGGGGCAGCAAACACTTCCAAGACCGTAGCTTGGCCGTGGAAGTAGCCTGGAGAAGATAAAAGATAGCTCGAAACGATGGCGAAAGTACAGAGAGCCCAGTATACCTCCCCACCCGATGGCGGCTGGGGCTGGATGATCGTGGCTGGCTGTTTCCTTGTTACCATCTGCACCCGGGCAGTCGCAAGGTAGGGGGGTTTCTTCATTTATTGATATGGCGTGACTTGTTTATTTCTTCTAAGTCTGCTTCACTTTATTTCTGGACCCATGACTGTGAAAACCTAAGTGTACATATGTATGGGATGTGGTGTGTGTGTGTGCATGTGCATGCATGGGGTGTTTGTGTTTTCTCTGACTGCTTAGAATATAATTACGTCTTATAAGTCTTGGGTGTAAAATGGTAAAGTTTTGTTTTATCTAACTTAAAATAATATAAAAATGTCCCTAGCACAAAGTACTAGGACAAAGGTGTCAGAGACCACATGAGCAGGATAAGTCGCCAACCGTCGCCTTTCACGAGCCGCTCCTGAAGCAGACGTGGCAGTACATTGCTCTGTCATGGATCTTCTCTCTGGAAAGTATTCTGACATTCTCATGAAAGGAGGAAGCGTACCATGGAATTTGCATAAGGAAACTATTTTCTTCCCCCAGTTTTTGAGAATTGCCAGACACTCACTTGAGAAAGTAAATTAGCATATGTTGACATGGCCCCAAGGATAGTAAAGATAATTTCTGTAAAATTATTTCTCTAGAATTTTCTTGTCTAGTGTTTTCTCGTTAAGATTTGACAGTGGGAAAGAGGAGCTAATTGAATGTGTAATTCATAATGTGTAAATTACAAAGCACTATAGACACACTGAGGAATGCTTGTGCCCTGCTGGGTTGCCTGTTGGGATGTTACCCTTAAAGTTAGCAGTTCAAAACCATCAGCTGCTCCGGGAGAGGAAGATGAGGCTTTGTATTTCCATAAATATTTTTGTCTCTGTACATTGTTGCTTGGTTTTGCTCTGTCCTGTTTTTGTGCATGTTGTCTCTGCAGGTCTGTCTGGATAGGACAGGCTGGATGAACAATCTGGAGGAGAAAACAACGGGACTGACAGTTCCGGGGGGACATGGGAGAGGGGGAGGTGGGGGG